AGAAGACATGAGCTGGTAACTTAGAAGTCACTGAAGAAATTTCCTCAGAGCTGAAGAAACACGTGAATCTTTTCATTCACATGGACCATCAAATGTCATGCAGAGTGAATAAAAGAACCACAGTAAAATACATTCACATGAAACTTCAAACTCCAATGAAAAAGAAAATGCTAAACACTTCCAACTAGGGGGCGGGGGGGTATATAAACTAATGAATGAAAATTAGATTACTGTCTGTAATCACAACAGCAACACTGGGTGCTAAGAAATGTTGAAATATTATATTCAAAATTCTCAAGAAAAATTCACATTGAACCTAGAATCCCATTTCCAGCCCAATTTCAAACACAAAATGAAGACATTTTCAGATATGCAAGGACTCAGAAAGCTTACTTGTTTATCCTTTCTGAAACAGTTTCTCAAGGATATAGTCCAAAAAAATTAAAGATAAAATATAATGAAGAGGAAGATATGGAATACAATAAATTGTAGAAAACAAAGAAAAAAGAGCTATTGCAAAAGTTATTGATGTATTATTTTTATTTAATAATCTTTTATAAACAAAATCACAAGCGATCTCTCCATGACAGGTGTAGGGTGGGGCAAAGAGGGCAAAAATGGGATCACTCTTCTCTTATTTGGGGATCCTGTTTACTAACTCAAGATTTCAGCTGACAAACATAAGCATAAGTATTCGTTTTTGAGAAATATATACACTTTGAAAGTCATTAAGGAAAGGGAAATGAAGGATTTCCTTGAGAGTAGTAATTGTACCATGTAACTGCTAATAAAGGTCTGATGGAGTGAAGAAAATTTGTCTATAAAAGTAGCAAGGAGCAATGACCCTTCTCAATTGCCCCTTCTATCCCTTGGCCATTAGTGTTGGGAGACAGTGCAGTAATCAAAAACATGGATAGGGTTCAGGTCCCAGCTTCCCATTCACTAGCCATATGTCCTTACTCATGACAGTTACTATCTCGGAGCTCTGGTGCGTCCATTGATAAAGTGAAATTAATAAAATCTTGTAAAATTGCTGTGTAGATAAATAAGTCAAGCCTCCCTTGGTGACCAACCATCTGCATGTAAGGATAGTGTGATGGTTAATACTGAGTGTCAACTTAACTGGACAGAAGGATGCAAAGTATTGTTCCTGGGTGTGTCTGTGAGGGTGTTGCCAAAGGAGATTAACATTTGAGTCAGTAAACTGGGAAAAGGAGATCCACCCTCAATCTGGGTGGGCATAATGTAATCAGCAGCCATGTGGCCAGAATAAAAAGCAGGCAGAAGAACATGAAAGGACTAGACTGGCTGAGTCTTCTGGCCTCCATCTTTCTCCCATGCTGGATGCTTCCTGCCCTCAAACATCAGACTCCAAGTTCGTCTGCTTTGACACTCTTGGGCCTTCGACCACAGATTGAAGGCTGCACTGTTGGCTTCCCTACTTTTGAACTTTTGAGACTTGGACTGGCTTCCTTGCTCCTCAGCTTGCAGATGGCCTATTGTGGGACCTCACCTTATGATCGTGTAACTTAATACTCATTAATAAACTCATATATATATACATATATATCCTATTAGTTCTGTCCCTCTAGAGAACCCTGACTAATACAGACAGGAATACAGAGCAATGTCTAGACAGAGGCTGAAACCCTCCTCACCTCCAAAGCACCTTGTGTTTTTCTCTCCTTCCCCTTCTTTGCCCACCCTCTCCTTAGGAATTTTCAGCCAATCCACACTCTGAGAAAGCTGCAGGGAGAAGCTGACCTGATGGGCTTGCCCCAGTTGGAACCCACTGCAGTTTCCCGGGAGCCTCACAGGGACTGCATCACAGTCCGTGGGGCTCCATAATAAGCTCTTCCAGCATCAGCTTAGCTTCACCATTAACTGCTACCACATTGAGGCAAAGAACTATGGTTTTCACGGCCTCCCCAAATCATGTCGCATCATTCCTACAAAAAAGTGGACCAGAAAGAAAGAAACTAGGATTCATTTCTTAGTGCCAGAAGTAACATAATTACAGAGGAATGTTCTGGCTAATCTAAAAGTTGCTTTTTGGTCTGTTGACCTAAGACCTATATTTGCTGTTTTGTTTTCAATGTTCTTCCTCACATGTCCTGTCTTTACCATTTCCAAGCCTAAGAACTGTGGGTTATCTATAATCAGTCATTAATGTTTTCCTTACCCTCAGTTAGTGAATACTTAAAGAAGCTGGAAATTCTCGAAACTCTGGTAGTTGCTCAAGGAAAAGCCAACAAATAATAGGGTATAGAAAAGCCTCAAGTAAAACTAGATGGGTATTGTTGGATACCCATGATGTAAGGATACACAAAGTGTTTTATGTTGCTGAGTCAAAATGTGCCATCTAAACTACACAACCACCACGCATTTTATTAGCTAAAAAAAAAAAAAAAAAAGGCCCTGGTCATTTAAATCTATGCCATTCACGTGCTTATACATATTTTTATATGCTTTACATAGGAAGTTTTTTAACTTATTATTTAAGCATAGCTAAAAGTTATATAACCAAAAAATTCGATTAACTCAAATACATGAGAACATTTGGGCAATCTTTTGGCCTATTGAATTTCTAGTTAGTGGAGGATTTCCCAAAGAGTTCCTCCAGCTTTCCACTTTTAGTTTCTTTTCTTTCTTTCTTTTTTTTTTTTTTTTTTTTTTTTTTGAGACAGAGTCTTACTCTGTCGCCAGGCTGGAGTGCAGTGGCGCGATCTCAGCTCACTGCAACCTCCACCTCCCAGGCTCAAGCGATTCTCCTGCCTCAGCCTCCCGGGTAGCTGGGACCACAAACGCGGGTGCCACCACGCCTGGCTAATTTTTTATATTTTTAGTAGAGACAGAATTTCACCATGTTGACCAGGATGGTCTCAATCTTTTGACCTCGTGATCCACCTGCCTCGGCCTCCCAAAGTGCTGAGATTACAGGCGTGAGCTACTGCGCCTGGCTCCACCTTTATTTTCTAACGATTGCTTTACCAAGTCTTCCCAGGTCCTTTACTTAGAAGCTTTCTCTCACTTAAGGTACATGACTTTTTAACCAATGAGTTCTTACTGTAAAAATGTCTCAGAAATATCATTCTGGCTGTCAATCTATTAAGTGATATGAATTCATGGGTTGACAATTTATGTCTTTTTCATACAAAGTTAAATGTACAAGAAAATCTCCAGATTTCATCATGATATACATGCTTTAAAGTGAAGGAGTTCAGGGAACTTGACCCCAAAATATGGCTCCCTGGTATAATGAGTATTTTGAACTAAAGGCCTTTAGAGATCAACAGATTTTAGAAGAGACTTTTTCCCTATCTACATAAAGACCAGACAGACCCATTAAGAGAAGAATGTTTTCCTCCCCTACCACTTGACTCTCAATCCTCTGCCTCTCCCAAACACAGTCTGAAGTTCCCTCATCTGCCTAAAGTCTGGACCTACCAAAAGAAGAAAACAATGCCCTGCGGTCCCTTCCCTGAGTTTTCATTAACTTCCTTCATTGCAAGAAGGAAGACTAAAGTCAAGGTCTGACAGACCTTGACAGACTTTTGTCACAAACCCTTGACTGCTCTGTGGACCTAAGAGACCACTGTAAGTTCTTCAAGCCCACTGATTTCCCCTAAAAATCACTTACTATCCCCCTAAAATTATCCACACTTCCCCATCTCCATTCCCCCTAAGAAGTAGAGAATATAAACACCTGTATCCCACTGGAATATTGGACAATCACTCTGAGATTCCCTTCATGCACATAACAGTAATAAATCTCTGTGCCTTTTCTTTAGTTGATTTTTAGCAAACCTTCCAAGCTTTCCCTTCACCCATAAAAAAACTGTGTAACTTTTGGGTTACTATATTTCTGGCTCTTATTTTTTGAACGTCTTCCATAGGGGGTTTTCTTTGTCTTATAAAAATGTGGGGAAGCTGAAATGCAGGGAATCTGAAGCAATCATATGTTTTTGTTTTACCTCCTATGTGAAATACATAAGCAAAGTGGTTCCTCAACACGTACATCAACGGCTAAATTCCAAAGGTATCCCAGTTGTCTGAGCATTCTCCCCTACCTATCAGTGTATTCTTTTCCTCTTCTTACTTTTCCATAAACCAAATGTTTTCATTTCTTATATTTACAATTCTGTGACTCTTAATAAAGATAGTAAAGCATAAACAATAAATGCCTGGAAATGCAGTTTTTGTCTGACTTTGGACTTATTCCGTTGTTCAGTTTTCTCTGAAGATTTTTCCTGCCAACCTTCCACTCCACCCACCATCACCCGACCCCAGCCCCCTCCATTTGGTTCACTGACACCTTCCAAAACCTATTCCAGTGTCTAGCACTAACGACAATGCACCACAGAGGGAGAGGGCGTGGGCTCCAGAATCGGCAACCTCAGTCTGAATCTCTGCTGCCCCACTGAGGGATTCTTAACCTCTCTGAGTCTCTATTCCTTTATCTGTAAAAGTGGAGATAACAGCAAAACTGGATAATCTTCTGGAAATATTTAAATGAGTTGACCTATGTGAAAGAAACTGACTTTTAATAGATAATTAGTAAATTCTAGTTTCTCTTTCCTAGTTTGGGGAATTTGGAAGGAAGAATAACAACGATTGTTGTCTATAAACTCATACCACTTTTCCACCGCACCCCTTTATCTTAACAATCTAAATGAAAGTTCAATGGCAGAGTACCAAAGAAAAGAGGCTAAAATGTTTATCTGAAAAAATCAGTAGACTTCTGCCAAATTTCCAGTCTCACAAAACCCAAGAATACTCTTCCCAAGAATTTCCAGTGCCCCGCTCCCAATCGCTAATAATAAAAACAACAATTCTGACATCTGTTTGCTGCTAGAATATATTGGTGGCTCAATCTTCAAAGAAAAATTTAATGTAATCAAATATATTCAAATTAAAGTATAATTTAGAAGGTTTTTTTTACACATCAGAAGGTATTTTAAGACCTGGCCCTTTCTCCGCTTGTTGATGGCAACACTTACTAGTTCCGGTTACTTTCACCATCCACCTCTTTGGATCTGGATACTGGAAGCTCACTTCAGTAATACCTCCTGGAAGACCAAAAAGTGAGATAAACAGAAATATTAGCATAATTGAATGAGGCAATATGGACAAACAACTGCAAAGAAGACAGATACTCAATCATGTAGAATATTAACATTCTCTCTTCCCCTTTTATGGACATTTTATTCTGCTACAGAATTCCAGTCACTAGTTTAGCTACACTCTGAGAAGTCATTTTCCTTTTTGACTTGTAGTGGAGCCAATTGGTTTAGAAGCACTCAGGGAGGTATCTTATATACCATCTGGGACAAAGAAAATAAAGTATTTTTTCATTTCCTTAGCAGTTACAAATTTACCTAATGATATCATTCCAAATGGAGCAGAATATAAGGTTCGACTATTTTAATCATTTGGCAATTGTGGTCCAAGTCCTATTACAATATTAAGATACCACAATTTAAATCACACATCATATGAAATAGTAATTTGCTTTAAAAATGCTGAATTTCTTGGCTCATGTTCTAAAAAGATATTGTAGGAGACCAATTGCAACAAAAAATTTATAGAACATGTGTGGAATAAAATATGTAAGGAATTTCCCTAGTTTATTTACTTAAATGAGCCACACCATAAAAGTGGCTACAATGCATATATATATACACACACACACACGTATACATATATATATCCCTGAGCCCTCGTAATTGTTAGATTGCTAGACTAGCTTTGCTATGAAAAAGCTGAGGAACTCCAACTGGAGCCATTCCTTTCCCCAATTATTACTGAAGGTTATATTTCATTATCTAGCTTAGCTGCTGTAATTAGCATCAACAAAGCTCTGTGCCATAATTCTTGATGTATAAACTTTTGGGAAGCCCATTACAATTCAGATGGACCTTCTGAAATGTAGCATTCCACCTGATGGCTAATCCCAGATATTAATGTCCATTCAATTTCCATTCACCCCTTCTAACGTGTTTGTGTACTGCTTGCTCATGACTGTAATATGTTTGTAGTACAAATAGTACTTTGCATTTTTGAATTTGGGGCTTAAATCTGTTCAGGCTCTCTCATGTGGCTGGAATGTTGGCATGGCTCAGAAAACAAAAGTCAACTTTAAAAAAAGTGGGTTCCTCCAGGAAGAGAGATGGCTATCAAGCTTGACAAATGCACTGTAATGTGAACAGGGCAGCAGGGTTAATTCTGTTAAGTGATTGCTATAGGCCTTTGCTTGTCTTGGACTTTTGGCCTTTTGCTGCAAACAGGGTGGGCCTTGTTAAACTGCCAAGTCGACAACTTTATATCCAAAGGCTTTTGACAATTTTATATCCAAGGCTTTGCTTTTCTGTTGTGATTTTTCAACAGGAAAGCTCAAAGTGCTTTGGGGATTTTCATCTCTGAGTCCATGATAACACTTAGAAAACTCAATGGATCATTGTTTGCTGAATCCGAGCCTAAAAACTAGGTTCTAAGAGAAAAAAAAATCATTGTATAAAAACATAGATTTGGATATCACAGTGTGCTCTGCTAATTTCTTTTGGCTGGTGCTTTTTTTTGTTTAAAGTTTACATGGAATCTCTGTTTCCACTGAACCATCTCAGACACTGAAACACAAAGCTGGGTTACAACCTAATCCACAATGTGGGGTTATCTTCCTGCTGTTGGGGCACTTTCCAACTGGGTAAGGATTTGAGCACTGCAGAGATGTATACTGAGTTCTTATATTACCCTGTCTGTGTCAGACTTAACTGAGACACAGATAAGTTAAAAAAGTAGCCCGCAAATCCTAGGACCTACTGCCCCACAATCTAAGAGCTAAAATCATTGTCTCTTGGACATAAATCAGCAAACTTCATTCAGCACATGTTACATACTTGCCATATGTTAATCCTCTACTAACCATGTGTTACATACTGTGGGGAAAAAAAAAAAAAAAAGCCACCATTGAAGGTTTCTAGGTTTCTAAAAGTTACCTGATCTACCAGTCATCTCCATCAGAACCCTCAGGTAAGCTTGTGTATTAAGCAGATTCCTGAATCCCACCCCAGATCTACTTGATCAAAGGAGGGGGCTAAATATGCATTTTTTATAAGCTTCTCCCAAATGATGCTTATGAGTAATGTTTGAGAACTATTCTAGACTCACGATTCTCAAACCTGGCTGCACATTTGAATCACCTGGTGAAGTTAAGCCACCAGTGACGTAGTACCACAGCAGACCAACTAAATCAGACCCTCTGGGGTAAGGGGGAGCCTGAGCATCTGTCGTTGTTGTTGTTGTTGCTGTTGTTGCTGTTGTTGTTGTTAAGTCCCCATGTGATTCGAATGGGCATCCAAGTCTGTGAACCATGGTTCTAGACTTTAGGCCCTATCAGAATTTATGACAGGGAGAAATCACTTCTATCTGAAGTGGGCAGATACTACCTTTGATTTCCTCTCAGATCTCGCAAAAGACTTCACATTCTCTTTGAAAAGTGTGTGTGTATGAGTTTGTTATTGTTTTGAAAATTACATATTTATACAGCACCCATCCAAGAAACAATTTTTATAGACAGTACATAATTTCATTTCTCTTCAATTCATCTGCTGTAATGATTAGAAGAAAAGTTTATTAGTATTCCAATTATAGATAAAGCAAAAGATTGGTACTTGGCCTGAGATCACAGACCAAGTTCATTCTAAAATTCTGACTTCACTGGAGTTGCTTCCCAGAAATTAAAAAAAGAGAGATTGAGAGTCTTTTAACAGTCCTAGTTGAAATGTAGCCTATTCAATACTAAAAATTATTCAAATAAGTAGTCCATCCACACTCCATAATGGACAGTTTTCCTCTTGGCTTTTGTGTTGTTGTTATTATAAAGAAGGGAATATCCTAAAAGGCCAATAATCCTCTTTCTATTTCTCCATTTTTCTGTCTCCATAAGGCAACATCACTGAATGTATTAATAGGCTTGCACAGTTAGGGTTTTTAGTTCCTCCCAGTTTGCCCAGAATGTTCTCAGTTTCAGTACTGAAAGCCTTGTGCCCAGTTAACCCTTGTCTTGGGCAAACCTGGACAGTCCCTATCAGCAGTGGCAATAAACAGTGCTTTGAAAATCTACGTAGGAATGGGAGTTTCAGGTTGGTTAGGAAGATCGGCCAGGCCAGCAGGGAGTGAGACAATAAAGATCCATGAAGGTGGGTAGGTTTGGCTTCAGGCTTTGAAGTCTAGCTGGGGAGGCACAGTACATGACCTAGCAAGAGGCTCTCAAACTTGAATGTGTATTACAGCCCCTGGATGGCTTGTTAAAACACAAATTGCTGGGCACCACCTCCAGAGTTCCTGATTCAGTAGGTCTAGAGAGGGGTCTAGAATTTGCATTTCTAACACATTCCCATGTGATGCTGATGCTGCTGGTCCCAGGATCACACCTTGAGAACCACTGCTCTGGGTGCTAGTCTAGACTTTAGTTGAGCATAAGTAATCGGTTTGAAGGTGATATCTTAGCACCAGGGAGCTAGCAGGCCACATTAGGCAGAGAGATAAGCTAGGGACCAAAGGCAGGACTCAAAGCACTGAGCAAATCTGAGCTAACATGGCAGGACCAGGCTAAGAGGATCTGGAGTACTAGGCAGATAAACAAAAGAGGAGCTCCATCTTAAAGAAGTATGACCAAAATCTTTCTACTGGATGTGGGTGCAAGGTGAGGTGTTGGCCTTAGGAACAAGGCAAAATTCAATGTGTAAGCAGTCATTCAGGACCACAGACTTAATGGCCAGTCACTAGAGTGGATTAATTCCTGAATTAGGAATTTTTAAGATCCCCTGACAACCATAAAAGTTGGGTGACCAACTATCCTAGTTTTCCCAGGAATTTCCCGACTTTAGCACTGAAAGTTCAGGGCCTAGAAACCCCTCAGTCCTAAAACATCCGGTCACCCTAATTGTACTCTTAAGAGACTAGAACCTAGATCCACCTACATCTCTGGGTCAGCTGGCTCCAGCCATAAGAAAAGAAAGCACACATGAGAAGAGGAGGGGCCAGTTGGAAAATGAGGCAGAGAGCCAAGATGCTCATTGCAACCTATAGCCTTCAAGAGAGGATAAAAGAGCACCCAGAAATATTGTCTATAAATGCTGAAATGTATTTGCTTTAAATGGGCAAAACACGTTAAATGACTCCACAGGCCTGCCGTTTTTCTAAACTCACGAAAGTGGAAAAGTTCAGCATAAACGGAACCATCCAGACACCCCATAGATGGAAGTCTCTCTCACTGCCTTTTGACAATCATCACACACACTTAAGATCTCATTGTAAGTACAGCCTTAAAGAGCCCTGAGAAGTACACACCAGTAGGGGAACTAAAACCCATTTGTAAATATTAGCAGAGTCTCCCATATTCTTTTGGTTTCCTTCACACACAAAAATAAGCTAAATGGAATGAACACACAGTTCAAAATGACTAAAACATTAAAGGACATTTAAATCTGGGAAAAGAATCTCTCTGTTGGGAATGTGGATTTCACCTAAGATCCTTAGTGCCATTCCCAGCATGCCAGAGTTATTTCAAATCTCTTTCATAATCAAATATTAATATTCCACCAGAATGGGGAGCATGAGGGCCACTATTGACAGGAACACAGCCTACTAATTATGACAGAAGTTTAAGATGTTCTTCACTAACGTTATCCACAGACTGCATAAAAATAATAACAGAAAACGTTTAACAGTAACAAGGATCATCACCAGGGAAAGTACCCAAACCATCACAAAATCCAAAAGCAAACACTGAACTAATCCATCCTCCCAGTAACTAACTCCTGCAAAATGCTGCTTATGTAGAAATAATCTTCTCAATCACACTTAAAATATTCACTATGATAATGAACTTTAGCCTCAGTGGATTGACTGTCCCAATATGCTGAGTCTTCATGATCAAGGAGAATCTGGCATAACCAGCATCTTCAAAACGCAAGTACCCTACGTCCTTCTGGAATGAACCATGTCATCCAGTAAGTAGGCTGAAACAGATGCATCCGACACGGAGACTCTCCCAGAGCTGAAGTGG